AGGAACGCACAGGGGGCACCTGGGGCAGCTGGCCCTCGGCAGGGAACGCGGCTTCCCGCCTGGCCCCACGGCAGGGCTGCTCAAGTTTAGCTGCACCGTTGCTGGGAGACTCGCACCCACCACCCACGCCACCTCCTGCCCCCTCAGACGACCCCACACTCCCCAGATGTGGACACGGTGCCCTGGCCCCTAGACGTGCACCCCAGTGGCCATGAAGGCCTGCCAATGCCCCCCGCCAGCCACATGCTCCCCAGCCATCACCCAGCTGCACATCGCCTAGATGTCCACGGGGTCCGTGCTCCCTAGGGGCCTGCCACGCGTCCCCACACTCCCTGGCTGGCCAGACAGCTCCCACGCACACCTGCAGCCCATGCCTGGTTCTCCCACTCCCGTGATGCTCCTGGATGCTCTCTATAAGGGGACCCCCGTCTTGGGCGCTGGCAGGCCGCCCACACCCAGACACACACACTCCGCAGCAGTCCGGTCCGAGGGCCAGTGTGCAGGGGCCCTGCCCAGGGAGCGAGGCCGGCAGGCATGAAGGGGCTCACCTCTCCCCCAGGTAGTCCCCGATGGCTGTCTTGTTCAGCCCCTCACCCTTGTACAGGAAGCGGGCGATCTCCTCAGGGGTATTCTGCAGAAGTTCATTCTCCACCAAGAACTGGATCCCCTGGCGGGCGAGAGCGGGCTCTCAGTGCCCGGGGCCAGGCCGTCACAGGTGCCTGGACCTCAGCCTCCCTGTCCCTGCCTGGCTAGGTCCACGCTGAACACCTGCTTGCTGAGTGACGGTGTCAGTGGGCAGCAGTGGTGGACACCGAGCCCCAGGCGGCCTGGAGGCTCCTCGGCGCCCTCTTGGCCGTGCAGCCCCTACGCTGCAGCTACAGCTCGTTCTGGGCGGTGGGTCTGTGTCCAGGGCCTCTCCTCCCTGGGTCCCCAGCTCCGCCCGGCACAGGGTCGGGCCCTCGGGAGGCACTGGAAAACGGGTGTTAAATGAACGACTGGGTGAGCAATGCTGGGCCAGCGTGCGCGTCCCGGCTGCTCCACTTCCAAGCCACCCGCCTGCTAACGTGCCGGGAAGGCAGCAGATCATGGCCACGTCCTTGGGCCCCTGCACCTGTGCGTGAGACCCGGAAGAAGCTCCTGGCTTTGACCTGGCCCAGCCCTGGCTGTTGGGACCTCCCTCCCTCTCTTTCCCCCTTTTAAAAAAGTCTTTCCTCCAACTGGTGAACGCCTCTCCATCCTCCAAACCTAACCTGGTCTCCTCCTCGGGGCAGCCCCCCAGGCTCCCCGTTTGGCTGTCCACAGCCTGGTGTCTGGCGCCTCCCCAGAGGTTGGACTGCTCAGGGCTCACAGCGCAAGCGGACAGCCAGTAGCTGAGTCCAGGGACTGGGGACAAACCTGCTACAACCCCCCGCCCCCCGGCAGCACCCAGCCCTTGGCCCCCGGTACCTTCTTGGGGTCCATGTTGAACTTCTTTCCTGCCCATTGCCATCTTCCGGTTCCGCTGCAAGGTCTTACTGCAGGGGACACGAAGCAGGGCGGGGGCGGCGGCCCAGGGTCAGGCCTGGCGTCCTGGGCCGGCCTGGCTCGGGCCGCCCGCCCCGGGCCCGGCCCTCACCTGCCCTCGTTGGCCTCCAGCCCCTCCACCTCGCTCATGGCCTCGCTGAGCTCCTCCCGCAGGCGCTGGATCTCCACGAGCAGCTCCTGCTTCCGCCGTCGGATGTTCTCCAGCTCCATCCGCTCCTCCGGCGTCAGGTCTGGGGGTTCTGCGGGGCCGGGGTCGGGGTGCCGAGGGTCAGCCCTGGGGCCGGGAGCCTGCATGCTTGCAACGTGGGGCGAGACGGGGCTGGGGCAGGACGCAGGTGAGGCGCCTGCCTCGGATGAAGGGGGCACTAGCAGCCTGGACCGCTCAGGCCAGGGCTGAGGCCGGGAGTCCCGGGGGGGGCGGGGGGGCTTAGGGCCCGGCCCCCAGAGTCTGAGGGGGAACCCGCGTGGGAGCCTCGGCCTCCGGGTCCATTACTTGGAAAGCGGCCGTGGTGTTCTGATTCCATTACTGGCGCGGCGGCCGGGGGGCCCGGGGGAAGATGGGCCTGGGTCTTCGGAAGCCCTGGGTCCAAGGGAAGTGACCACGGCAGGAGAAGCCGACGGCAGCTCGCGGAGTCGGGACGGCGCGGCCGGGCCTCGGCGGACCCGGCAGCCCCCACGGCCTCCCCTCCCCGCCCGCCGCGGCCGCTGGGCTCGCCCGGCCCCTCCGGCGGGAATGGTTCCGCCCCGGCCTCGCCTCCGCCGCGCCATCCCGCCCCCTCCCGCCGACGCCGGAAACGGGCTCGGCCCAGACAATGGCCCGGAACGCCCCGCGCTCGCGGACCCCGCCGGAAGCCCGCCCGGCGCCCCGGCCAGCGCGGCGGCGACGGCGGCGCCGAGGACCCCGGGCGGCGGGCGCCGGGCGCGAACGCCGGCGGCGGGGCGTTCGCCAGGGAACGCTCCATCCGCTCCACGGCCCCGCCCCTCCGGCCTACCGTAGACGCCGTCCTCCATGGCGGCGAGGAAGGCCCGCGGGGAGTCCGGGGCGGTCCCGCCAGTCGGGCCTGGATCCGCGCTGGCCCGCGGGCTCGGGTGAGCCCGCTCAAACGCCCCGGGAGCCACCGCCGCCTCCTCAGCGCCAGTCCTCAGCGCTGAAAAGACTCTCCCTTCGTCGCCCAACCGCCCGGCCGGTAGGGACCGCCCCTCGTCTTGACACCGCCCAATCCGCGGCGACCCCTCCGGGCTGCACCGCCCCCCGACGCCAAAGGACAGTCCGCCCAGGCCAATAGGCACACAAGAAACAGGTGTTAGGCATGTCCGGCCGGAGGTAGACAGCCAGGGGGCCCAATCGGGGTGCGGGCAGGGCGCCAGGCCCCGCCCCCGAAACAAAAGAATGCCCTTGGCAAGCCTGTCCACCAATGAGAAGCCTCGCAAAGGCGTTGTGAGGAGGTGGGGCTGTGCGCGAGCGGAGAACACTGAGCCTGCGCAAGGACTCGGGGCGCGCGGAGTCTGGGTCAGTCGAGCCCCGCCTCTCAGCACGTTGCCAGGGGGCGTTACTTTGTTAGTCCTGTTGCTAGGGGGCGGGGCCTAGGCCGTGAGCCACACCTCCCGGCCGGCCACGCTGGCTTTGGACCGCCGCGGTTGCCGCGCAACCATGAGCGGCTTCGCCGGCCTTTTGCCTCGCGTCTCCCTTGCTACGTGCAGACCCTTCCCTTAACGCCCCACATGACCACTGCCAGCCGCTTCAGGGTCAGGACGTAGTGAAATGGCAGTTCTGTCAAATGCTACACTCCCGGGTACCGGTCACGCAGAATGGGACGTTAGGGACAGCACAGGCTCCGCCCTCTCTTCCTAAGCCCCTCCCCTTAGCGTAGCATCCTCCCTCCGAGTCTCTACCTCTTTTTTTCTCTGCCGCCTCTCTGCTATCTCTCCCCCGACTCCGGCTCTGCTCTGTTCAGGCATCCCCCACCCCGACCCTCTCAGACTCCCCCCGCGCCCCAGGCCCTCTCCGTTCCACAGCCCCGGCCGGGGGTGGCAGGTGCGCAGGTCCCGCCTGGACAGAACCGCCGAGCCCCTGTGAGTGGTCAGACCACGGGGACTGAAGTCTCTGGGCCTCACCTCATTTGCCGTCCCTGGGCTGGGCGGGAGGGGACGGATTCGGGGCCAGGACCTGGTTAAGCCGTTGGATTAGACATGGAGCCTTTTAATCCCCTCACTGACCTTTATGAGCGGCCCCGGTCCTGTCCTACCCGGCCAGAGAACGCCGTGTGTCGGCTTTGCCCCCATTCTGTCCTTCCAAACCGAATCCCTCCTCGTCACTGCACCCCAACTTAACATCCTCCCCCACCCCTTGAGACTCCATTGTCCCCTGCCCCTTCCCCAGACACCGCGAGCTGTGAGAGCGGCCAGCTAATTAATCCCATCCGGTCATTACACGGGGATTCTGAAGGATAAAAGGGGTCGGGGAAGCCCGAAGGGGACAGCCGGTTGAGCAGTACTTGCGCAGTGACAGCGCCTGGCCTCGGCCTGCAGCACGGGAGTGGAGACGCCTCCTCCCTGCCCTGGCACTGGCTCCCTCTGCGGCTGGCTCCCAGCCTGCAGGATGATTAGCCACATGGCAGCATGGGGGCGGGCCTAAGACCTCCCCAGAAACACTTGTAGACACCCCCCGTCAGCGTGCCCAGTTCCTTAGTCTGGGGGACAATCTCCCGCACAATACCCACTTCCTCTCCCCTCCACGGGAAGATTCCGGTGTTCAGAGCTACTTCCTCCCTGCCCAGATTCTAGAGCTAGGCCAGGGACTAGCTGGCTTTGGCCATTAGCCATGGTTCCACTACCCCTTGCTGGCCCTGTGATGTCCTTTTTACTTATGTATTTGAAAGGCAGGGTGACAGTGAGAGACGGAGCCATCTTCCACTTGCTGGTTCACTCCCCAGATGGCTGCAACAGCCCAGGGCTGCACCAGGAGCCAAGAACTCCACCCCAGTCTCCCACACAGGTAGCAGGGGCCCGAGCACTTGGGCTGTCTTCTGCTGCTTTCCTTGGTGCATTAGCAGGGAGCTGGATTGAAAGCCGAGTGACCAGGGACTCGAACTGGCACTCCACTGCCGTTGTCACGAGTGGCAGCTCCACACACCGCATCACCACGCTGGCCCATGGCCCAGTGATGTAGGTGACCCGAGTTCAGAGACAGCTTCCAAGGGCACCTCCCATCCCAGCCACCCCTGGAAGGCCAGGTGCTCCAGTACCGGGATCCACACCCCCACCCCGCCCTCAGTGAGGGGAGGAATCACTAAGTTCCAACACCGCTTTTCACAGATGGTGGAGCCGAGGCAGGGAGTGGGAGTCGTGTGCCCAGCGCCACACAGTAAGATGATGCAGGGTGGAGCTTTAGCGGGAAACTTCCTGGACTGCGTTCCAGTTGGCTGCAGCCTGATTTCTAACCCCACTGCAGGAACCAGGGAAAAAATAGATATCTGTATTTATATTATGTATATAATATACATATGTATAACATCTTTAAGAAATAGACACGCGTCACTAGGTACAGGATTCCAGCGCATTCTAGACTCCCCAGTCCCAGCCCTTCCCCCTCCCTTGCTCACTAAGGAGCCCTGTGACCGGCAGGGTCTCACCTGAGCCCTCAGAAACCGTGCTTAGCAAGCCCGAGTCCACCTCCTGGAGCTGCCGAGCAGCCCACGTGGAGGCGGGGAGCGCGTCCAGGCCTCGGGGGTGGCCATCCCTGGATCTCTGGAGCCTCATTCCTTTTGGCATGACAGAACCACAGGAAGTCACCTAGAACCCTCGAGAGTCGCAGTTCCACCGGGAAGCCACAGAAACCGGGAACTGCCCGCCCCCCCCCACCCCACCCCCCGCCGTGATCAGTCCAGAGCTGCAGAATCCAAATTCCTTTGGACGTTCTAGAATGGCACTTTAAAAAATGAAAACCACCCTGCGGGGGCCCTGGCAGCATCGCTCGCCCCTGGGCATCGGTCACTTCGTCCCTCTGGACCCACAGACTCGTCATTGTGTTGTGCATTCTAGAAAGCGAAAGTGTCTAGAGTTCGGTTCTCTAGGCCAAGCCAGCGCTTGCCTTGGTAGCCAACCTGGACTCAAGGAATCAACTCTTGGGCTCTCTGAAACCACAGTTTGTTCTTTTTCTTTCTTGGCTCAGTCGCCACTCTTCGTTTTGCATCCGTCTCGGACGTGCAGCATTCCACAGCCTTCTCGCCTTCGGCGGTCTAGAACAAGTGATTCGCCGCTCAGTCGGCTGAGTCGGAAACCAACAGCCCCTTGCAGCGCAGGTCAAAGCCACACCCACCAGCCCCGGATCCGCTGCTGTGCAGGAACTGCCAGCTTCCTTCTCCGCACGCAGCCTGCCCTACACCACCGACCCCTAGCTCTGCTCAACAGCCCAGACCCAGCCAGGCAGAACCATCTAGAGCCACCACTTCCTTGGCTCTTGGGTGCTCCAGAGCTCTGGAGCCACAGCTCTGGTGAGACGCAGGAATCGGGCTCTTAAAGGGGTTCAGGGAGGAGCGCAGAAGCAGAGGGGCTAAGGTCCAGACAGTGTGTGGTGGGTCCGGTCCACCAGCCATGGCAGACGCTCACAAGCTAACGGTTTACCCAGCAGGCCTGTGGGCCTCGGGAAACGGCTGCCCCACCCCCGATGCAGGCTGAGCTCTCCATCTTGCTCCCCCGTGGAAAGGGGGCACAAGCGGAAAGGGGATGTTGGCTTGCGTCACGGGGGCAGGGTCAGCGCCAGGGTCGGGGTGAGAACTCGGGGGCTGGCAGCCCCTGCTTCTTGCTCCGCCTCACTCCCTTCCTTGGCCTCCTCTTCCTCCTCTTCCTCCTGGCAGCAACTCAGAGCAAGTTCATTCTCGTAACAAAACGCAGCCAGGGAGCCAGGGGAAGCTGGACTTGGGGCTGTGGGAAGCCTGCTCCGCCCGCTCGTCCAGCTCCTTGGCGCTGCAGACGGGCGTCCCCGGGACCTCGTAGGTGCGGTGGAAGTGGCGATAGTCGACTTCGTACTGGGAGCCACGCTGGAAGAGGACCGGCTCAAAACGGTGGCCCCAGAGCAGCTCGCCGGGGAGGTACGACGAGCGACACTGCGTGGTCATGGCCGTGGCTTCCACCATGCCCTCGAGGATGACCACGAGCTCAAAGTCGGCCCGGGCCAGCTCGGCCCGTCCCAGCTCGTACAGCGGGCTGGCAGAGTCGATCTCGTGCACGATGGTGATGGGAGACACCAGGAAGATGCGGTCGGTGCCTCCGTCAAAGCCCACGTCCACGTCCTGGTGGTCGAGCGGGATGTACTCCCCCTCCGGGGTCACGCGAGGCTGCAGGAGAAAGGGGGGGGGGAGCCGAAGGCAGCAGGAAGCAGAGAGACGAACAGGGACACAGGGAAGGGCAAAGTCCACGCGTGGGGATGGGTACGGTGACAACACGGTCCCAGAGGGAGGGGACAGGGACACGGGAGAGAGGGGGATGGAGACCCAGGGAGGGGCGGGGGAGGTCAAGACACAGAGGTAAAGAGAGGGAGAGATAGGGATAGAGATGGAGGAAGACAGGGACAGAATGCAATTGACACAGACCACAAAGAGGATGCAGAGACAATGCGAAGATGACATTCAGCCAGGACACGGAGAAGAGGGATAGAAAAATGGTTTTCAAATGCGTGGCCAAACACACACCATGATGACACAAAGATGGAGACCTGACACCCAGGACTCCAGCACTGCCCTGGCTGTCCCCAGGCCAACCCACCCTCCAGCCCCTCAAGTCTGGCATTTGGTCTAGCTCCACTTGTCTGCCCCACTCCCCAACCTCCCGTGCCATGCCACTGCCCCACAGCCTTCTGGAAGATTCCGAGGTGTGTGGGGGGGGCACCTCTGCTCTTGCACCCTTCCCCCACCACACGCAGCCCGCAGTGCCCAGGGTCTTCACTTGGCCCGGGGAAGCCTCTCCCCCACGCTGTTGGACACAGTGGCATTGGAGCCATTTGACCACAATGCCAGGAACACGAAGGGCCCTTCTTCGGGGTTGCCCCAGGGTCCGGGAAGCGACAGAAGCCACAGTTCTCCCAGGAGGCTGCTGGAGCCACTGAGGTGGGGGATGAGGCCTCCCGCAAGTGGTGTAGCTCAGCTCCGCTGGGTCGGCTGCACCCCATCTATCCCACGGTGCCCTAAGGGTCGGCTGCACCCCATCTTTCCCACGGTGCCCTAAGGGTCGGGCTGCACCCCACCTTCCCACGGTGCCCTAAGGGTCGGGCTGCACCCCACTTTCCCACGGTGCCCTAAGGGTCGGGCTGCACCCCACCTTCCCACAGTGCCCTAAGGGTCGGGCTGCACCCCACCTTCCCACGGTGCCCTAAGGGTCGGGCTGCACCCCACCTTCCCACGGTGCCCTAAGGGTCGGGCTGCACCCCACCTTCCCACGGTGCCCTAAGGGTCGGGCTGCACCCCACCCTCCAACGGTGCCGTAGGGGCTCAGCCTCAAGTAGGATGAGAATTGTAAACCTGAGCCATGCAAAGGTCCCTGGAACCCCACCACCCACGGAACACAGTCTCCTCAGAGCACCTCAGGCTGGCTCTTTCCCTGTGACGCCCCAGACGCTTCTGGGAATGGCAGTCCACAGCCCTTCCCACCCAGGAGTGGACCGCCTAGGCCCGGATTTCCCACAATCCCATGGCCGGGCCATGCTCAGGCCACAAGCAGCTCTTCAGGGTTCCAACCCAGGCCTCCGTAAAGAGTGGCCGCAGACCCTTCTCCCGGTTCCCGTCTCCTACGACCCCGAGAGGCTGCTGGGAATTGTAGTCCACGCACCCTCCAGGCCCACCCGCGTCGCCCTTGCGCCTACATCTCCCACAGTGCCCTGGGCGCGCCTGCAGACCCCGCGAAGCGCCGCACCTGCAGCAGCTGGGCCCGCACGTGGGCCTCGACCAGGTGGCTGCGGCGCAGGTTGCCGACGCGCCACATGAGGCAGAGGCGGCGGTCGCGCAGCGCCACGACGGCGTTCTCGCTGAAGACGAGCGTCTCGTTGCGCTTCTTGGGCTTGGCCATCTTGGCCATGACGGCGCCCACGACGAAGGCGTCGAGCACGCAGCCGGCGATGCACTGCAGCACCACGGCGGCCACGGCGGCCGGGCACTCCTCGGTGACGCTGCGCACGCCGTAGCCGATGGACGTCTGCGTCTCCAGCGCGAAGAGGAAGGCGGCCAGGAAGCTGGCCACCTGCGAGAAGCAGGGCGCGGGCGGCGGCGGCGCGGCCAGGTCGCCGTGCAGCGAGGCGATGAGCCAGAAGGCCAGGCCGAAGAGCAGCCAGGAGGCGAGGAAGGAGCAGGAGAAGAGCAGGCACATCCAGCGCCAGCGCACGTCCACGCACGTGGTGAACAGGTCGCTCAGGTAGCGCGCGCCCTGGCCGCCCAGGTTCACGAAGCGCACGTTGCAGTGCCCGTCTTTCTTGACGAAGCGCCCGCGCCGCCGGCCCACCGGCGACTGCGCCGGCGCCCAGCCGTTGCGGCACAGCCCCGGCCCGGCCTCCTCCTCATCGCCCGCCCGGCTGTCCCCCGACTCCAGGGCGCCGCTCAGGCGGCGCAGGGCCCTGGCCAGGCCCATTGGGCGCGGGGGCCCCCTCCACTTGGCCTAGTGGGGGGCGGGCGCCCCGAACCTGCGGGGACAAGCGACAGGACAGAACATCAGGGGTGCCTGGAGCGCATAAGGTCGTGGGCCAGGGGTGCTCCCTTGGGTGGGCCTCGGTGGCCACCGCCAGCAGGCTCTGGGTGGGACAAAACTCACCTTCCAAGCTCAGCCGCGGTGGCCGCGCTGTCAGAAACACCTGGGCACCCTGACAGCAGCCTTGGACATGTGGCACGGTTGCAGCAGACTTTCCACAGTGCCAAATTTCTGCCTTAAATCTGTGGTTTCCGTAATATGAAGGATGACTAAGTAGGCCATTGATAGACTGCTGTGGTCTCGGGCAGCGTATTCAGCTGTGCCTCACGGGGTTGATACTGTTTTTTTTTGTTTGTTTGTTTTTTGACAGGCAGAGTGGACAGTGAGAGAGACAGAGAGAAAGGTCTTCCTTTGCCGTTGGTTCACCTTCCAATGGCAGCTGTGGCCGGTGCGCTGCGGCCAGTGCACTGCGCTGATCCGATGGCAGGAGCCAGGTGCTTCTCCTGGTCTCCCATGGGGTGCAGGGCCCAAGCACTTGGGCCATCCTCCACTGCACTCCCTGGCCACAGCAGAGAGCTGGCCTGGAAGAGGGGCAACCGGGACAGAATCCGGCGCCCCGACCGGGACTAGAACCCGGTGTGCCGGCGCCGCAGGCGGAGGATTAGCCTAGTGAGCCACGGCGCCGGCCGATACTGTTGCACAGATGCCGAGCTGGGGCGTGGAACAACTTGCCCGAGACCACAGCTGACTGCGCTGGACTCCTGTGCCAGCCACCGGCCAGGTTGTAGCTCCGCTCAGCACGGGGTCAGCGTGGAGACCCCAGCAGGCTGAGGTTGGGCGCGGCGCAAAGACACGCTCCAAAAGCACAAGCGACATAAGAGACAATTTCCTTGAAGACGTTGAATTTCATCAATATTTTAAAAGAATTTATATCTATCTGCGAGTGGGTGTTTTGTGCCAGCAGTTAAGGCACCACTTGGGCCGCCCCGTCCCACACCGGAGTGCCAGGCTTTGAGTCCTGTGCCACTCCTGATTCCAGCTTCCTGCTAACCTGCACCCTGGCAGGCAGCAGGTGGTGGCTCGAGCACTTGGGTCCCTGCCACCCACACGGGACACCCGAGTTTCTGGCTCCTGGCTCTGGGCATTGTGGACATTTAGGGTATGGTCGGGAAGTCCCTCTCTTTGTCGTTCTCTCTCTGCCTTTCAAATACATGACATAATTTTTTTTTTTTTTTTCATTTGAGAGAGGTCCCACTCACTCTGGTTAATCCCCCCCAAGCCCATCAATGGCCAGGGCCAGGCTGGGGTGAAAACCAGGAGCCAGGAACTCAGTCCTGGGTCTCCTAGGTGGGTAGTGGGAACTCTATTGTTTTTTATTAAGATTTATTTTATTTACTTGAAAGACAGAGTTACAGAGAGAGGAGAGTGAGAGAGGTCTTCCACCCGCTGGTTCACTCCCCAGATGGCTGCAATGGCTGGAGCTGCACCGATCTGAAGCCAGGAGCCAGGAGCTTCTCCCGGGTCTCCCACAGTGGGTGCAGGGGCCCAAGGACTTGAGCCATCTTCTACTGCTTTCCCAGGCCACAGCAGAGAGCCGGATCGGAAGAGGAGCAGCTGGGACTAGAACCGGTGCCCACATGGATGCCGGCGCTTCAGGCCAGGGCTTTGACCCGCTGCGCCACTGTGCCGGCCCCGGGGACTCAATTCTTGAGCCATCCCTGCTGCAAACTGCATTGGCAGGAAGCTGAGTGGAGCGGGAGCCAGCACCGGAACCCAGGCACTCTGGTGTGGGACGGCGCGGGAGTCCTAACTGGCATCTCAGCGGCTGAGCTAAATGCCTGCACCCACATGAAAAACGTACGTGCACCGAAGGACGCTCAGAGAGGTGACGACGACCTGGCGGCTGGAGAGACCAGCTACAAGTCAAGTGTGGGACGCAGAACTTGCATCTGAAATATACGGCGAGCCCTTGCCAGCCCATTTAAAGGTGGGCAAAGGCCTGGGCAGGCATTTTCCCAAAGAAGATGTGTGTCCAAGTAGGGCACAAAAAGATGCTTGGGGGCCGGCGTTGTGGCGCAGCGGGTAAAGCTGCTGCCTGCAGTGCCGGCATCCCTTATGGGTGCCGGTTCAGGTCCCAGCTGCTCTACTTCTGACCCAGCTATCTGCTATGGCCCGGGAAAGCAGTAGAAGATGGTCCAAGTGCTTGGGGCCCTGTAACCACATGGGTGTCCTGGAAGGAGCTCCTGGCTCAGATTGGTCCAGCTCTGGCCGTTGTGGTCATTTGGGGAGTGAAGCAGCAGATGGGAGACCTCTCTCTCTCTGCCTCTGTGCAACTCTGCCTTTCAAATAAATAAAGATGCTGATTACCACTGGCCATGAGAGGACTGTGCACCCAGCCACAGCAGCCCCACAGAGCAGCCACGTAGGCACTGAACCGAGGACAGTGGGGGTGGAAAGTCACGCAGCTACTGTGGAAACCAGGCTGGGAGTTCCATAGGTGGCCTGGCAGAGTCACCGTGTCAGTCTGCCATTCCACCCCACAGTGCCCACCCGAGACAGACAGGCAGCCACACAAAGCCTCGCACACGGCCGCTCCTAAGAGGCGAGAGGTGGAGATGACCCAAATGTCCACCAGCGCTGAGTGGGTGCAATGTGGCTTCTCCCACAGTACAAAGCAGGCAAACGCTGAGAGGATCGAGCCCAGTAAAGCAGCCAATCCCCTGCCCACATGCCGAATGGGCGCCCCCCCCTCCCCCCGCCGTGAGGTGCGAGGACGGGCCGGTCTGAATTGTGGTGGCCCAGGACTGAGGCTTCTCTGTGGGGTGATGAGGCTGTCCTCAGTTCAGCTGTGCAACCATGAGAGTGCTAGCCACATCTAACGGGTGAACAGTACAGCAGGAGGTTATGTCCCCACGAAGCTGGCAGAGTAAGACAGGCTCCCAGGGGCTGGGCCGTGGCGCAGCAGATTAAACCACCACTTACGACACTGGCATCCCGTGTCAGTGGCAGTGCCGGCTGCTCTGCTTCCCACCCAGCTCCCTGGAAGGCAGCCAACGATGGGCCTGGACTGAGGAGTTGGGTCCCTGCACCCACGTGGGAGACCCGGATGGAGGTCCAGGCTCTTGGCTTCCATCTGGCCCAGCCCTGGCCAGTGTGGCCATTTCGGGAGTGAACCAAGCTCTGCCTCTGTAACAAACAAATGTTGCCAGCACCGTGGCTTAGTGGGTTAAGCCACCGCCTGCAGCACCAGCATCCCTTATGGCACTGGTCTGGGTTCCGGCTGCTCCACTTCCCATCCAGCGCTCTGCTGTGGCCTAGGAAAGCAGTGAAGATGGCCCCAGTGCTTGGACGTCTGCACCCAGTGGGAGGCCTGGATGAAGCTCCTGGCTTCAGTCTGGCCCAGCCCTGGCCGTTGCGGTCACTTGGGAGGGAGACCTCTCTGCCTGCCTCTGCCTCTTCTCTCAGTCTGTAACGAGGTTCAGCCCCTGACCCTCTACCTCAGACAGCTCCTACTCGGTTGCTGACACCACATGCCTGGGATCCCCAGCATCCTCGCCCAGAGCCTTGATTTACTCATCTGTGGGATGGGGATATAACTTTCCAGTTGAAGAGAGAGGTCTGGAAGGAAGGGGATGGCGGCCTCTCCGAGCAGCTCACACCCCTCTCTAAGCCTCAGTTCCCTCATCTGCGAAGTGGAATGAACCCCAGCAGCCCGACGGGCGTGGACCTGCAGGCCTCACCACCTCTCAGCTGCTGCAGGGGCGACACCCGGCGCCGTGGTGGGGGGCACCTTTCAGGGCTGGCTGGCTAAGGCCAGAGGAATCTGGTTAACTGCCGATTCCATCGGCGCTGGCCCAGCCCCTGCGTGCTTGGACTGTGCCTGCCGCACAGGGGTCAGGGATCCGCCTGGGCCCTCCACCTGAGGACTGCTGACCAACATCGAGGTCAGCACCCACGGGGTGCCTGGAAGGAGCTGTGCACCTCTGGGTCTGGTCTCCACAGCCACCGAGTGGGGCGTAGGCCCACCTGACGGGGGTGAAGCGGAAGCTCAGGTCAGACGCCCCAGGCTGGGCTGTGCCAGCACCTACCTTGTACCCAGCTGCGACCTCTCCACCTCCCACAGCCCAGGATGCCAGAGCGTGTTCTTAGGGAGGGGCAGCGGTGGGGTCGGCATGCAACCCCTTGCCTCCTGGGAAGTCCCCCCTCATGAGCCAACAATAGGGCGCTGACAGGCCCCACCCTGCCCCAGGCCGGCCTCCCACCCACTCCCCACTGCTAGCCGCTAGCTGCAACCCTTGCTGTGCACAGAAAAGCAAATAGAGGTTCTGCGGTGAGGCTGCCTCAGGGCCCAGGCACCGAGTACCTACTACACGCCGGCCCCCCTAGGGCTCAGGGAGTGTTTGCAGCCCCCCTACTGGGTCCACCAGACCCCGAGGCTCACCTCGACTGCTCAGGAGGCCAAGGTCCTCACCCCATCTCACAGGCCCAGCCCAGGCTTGGAGGGGTCTGTGGCCAGGCCTGGCCCTCCTCAGCCCGCGAGGCCGACCTGTGTTCACCTCACAAAGCCACCGGACGCTGCACCTGCGGGGGGCTCTGCGTGCCCAACGCGGCCCGGCTCCCAGACTTGGAACAAGGTAGGGCGGGAGCGAGCGGGATCCCAAGCCCGAGGGCCCCACCCCCTGCAGCTGACCTGCGAGAGCAGCTTAAGGTTTCCATATAAAGGAGACACAGGGCTTAAGGTGCTTCAACTCCGTGTCAAAGTCACTGTCTAATCTGCAGCCAAGAGGCCCCGCCCCTCCCCCCGCAGAGGGTTCCATGCTCTTCCTGAGGCGGGGGCATCCCCCCACTCCCCTCCCCCATAACGGGGGTCCCCACAGCGAGTGGGAGCAGAGTGGGGAAGAGGGGTGGGGCAGAGGCTGCAGACAGAGCAGGCCCAGAGATGGGCAGGGAGAGGCGGGCTTGGGAGGGAGCCTGAGGAAGAGAAATTGGCAGGAGGAGCAGGGCCGGGGGGGGGGGCGAGGACCTGAATTGGGGAGCAGAGACCAAGGGGGCTGGGGCGGGCAGGAGACCTTGCCTGGGGAGGTGCAAGCCATGGGGTGAGAAGCAGAAGCCAGGAGGGTCGGGTGCAGCGAGCACAGGCAGTGCCCCCAGCATGGGTGGGCAGAGCTACAGGCAGCAAACCTGGGTCTCGGCGGCTCCTCGAGGGGCCACGGTCAGGGCAGGGGCCGGGGAGACGGGTGTTGGGCCGAGGGGGGAGGGTGGGGGCAGCAGAAGGAGGGAGTGGGCACGTACCTGGGGGGGCTGCCCACCCCCATGCCCTGGGGGGGCTCTGCTGCTCAGGCTGGGGGAGGCCTCTGGGGGCCCGGGGGCTGCGGTCTGTCCTCGGCCCCAGGGGCCTGTGCCGGGCGCCCGCGACCTCTGAGTCCACAGGCGGATCAGAGGCCTGGATGGAGGGGGCAGGGGGTGTGGCCAGCAGCGCCGCAGAGGGGGAGCCAGGGAGGACGGCCAGGCAGGCAGCTGGGCGGCAGCCCAGCAGGCTGGAGAGGCACAGGTGGGGGCAGGGAGGCACGGAAGGCCAGGGACGCTGATCAGGAAGAGAGGAGGAGCTGGGGACATCGCTGAGGGGTCCCCTGGAACGAAGCCTAAGTGGGGGCATGGGACGAGACCCTCTGACTGCTGAGTCCCAGATGGAACACAACAGAGCGTGGCCCCTGCCGCGTGGGGGCTGGAGCACACACAGCGGGGACCCCCTGGGGACAGCTGGGGACCGACTTCCTGCCTCACCAGGCGACTTCCTGCCTCGCCAGGCGGTTGGAGCCTCACACGCCCTCCGGGCCTGTCTGGTCCTTTATTGCATCTCGGGAGCCCCTGCCCTGCGGCTCAGAGAGGGGAGGGCCCACGCAGCCCCCTGCTGGGAAATCCTGGCCAAACCCAGCGGCCGGAAGACAAGGGTGGGACCAGAGTCCGCTGGAGGAGCCCACAGCTCGGGTTTGGTCCGGCCTTTGTCAGGCCCCTGAGGTCCCTGGGGAAGACCAGGTGCCAAAGCCCAGGGCTCACAGGCCACGCCGGGCCCGCCAGGCCCCGCCAGGTGCGGGTGTGGGCCAGCGTCCATCTCAGCCCTTCTCTCGAGGGGCAGCCGACAGGCGGCACGAGCGGCTCCTGAGCAGGGCACGGCAGAGGCCGCGGCCCGCCTCAGACGCTGATGGTGCGGAAGATGGTGAAGCCGGACAGGGCGGTGCTGACCACGACCCCGGGGCACTGCGGGTGCCAGTGCAGCTCCTTCAGGTCGGTCTCGCCCTGGTGCACGAACAGCAGCTGCTGGGGGAGGTCCGCCAGCCCGGGCTCGGCCTCCGCCTCCCCTGGCCTCGGGGTCCCGCTCCACGGCCAGGTCCCACTGCGTGATCTGGTTGTCGGCGCCGGAGGCAGCAAAGACCCCGCTGTCCTGGGGGTGCCACTCGACAGAGGTCACGGGGGCCACATGCTGCTTGAAGGTGGCCACCGGGGAGCCAGACTGCGGGCAAGGATGGAGTCAGGGGCTCAGACGGCTCAGCCTCGGGGTTCAGCGGGGCCCCGCACCTCACCGCCCACAATCTGTGATGAGGCCTGGAGGAAGCCCCTCCCCTCTCCTCCCTGGGTGCGTGCTGGCTCCCTCGTCTAGACAATGTTCCCCCAGGGCTCTCCCCTGACTCTGTGAAGGCCCCACTTCGGGAGCTCCAGAGGCAGCCAACCGGGACAGGGGTCCCAGGTGCTGCTGGGACCTGAAGGAGGACTGGCTGCAGAGGGCCACCGTCATCACCTCCAGGAGCCAGCCCAGGCTGAGTCCACAGAAGCGGCTAAGCTGCAGGGAAACAGATGACCCGGCCGCCCCGGAAGAGCTCGGGCTCCGGGAAGCTATGGCTCCGTGCACAGGGACCCCACAGGCTGCAGCTGCTCCTGCCAGAGCCCCTTTCTGCTCTACAGGTCAGCGCTTCGCCGGGCTGTCACGTCGCACCTGCTCCTGTCCTCGCTGTGCCGCGCCTCCTCCCCTGCAGCGAGTGAGCTGGGTTCCCACTCTCAGTCCACCACAGGACCAACCTAGAGTTCCCAGGGGCCCTGAGTCGTGGGCCGCACAGCGGCTGCACCTCTGCCCCATGGGCAGATGGGAGCTGCAGTCTCGTGGTCTGTCATCACTCGTCAGAGACCTCACAGCCACCAGGACCCTTCCTCTGCCCGAGCGTCAGCCTCCCCACCCACCCCAGGAGGGGCTGGCCCCACGCCGGCCGGCCGCCCGAGCACGGAGGGGGAACCCGCAGGCCCAGCGGCTGCTCCGGGAGGTACCTTGAACTGCCGCAGGTCCCAGACCTTGAGCGCCCCGTCGTCCCCGCCGCTGAGCAGGAAGGGCTCCCGGCGGCTCCAGCTGATGACGTTCACGTCCCCGTCGTGGGCGGCGGCTGTGGTGAGCATACAGGCCTTGCCGGGGACTGCCCGGATATCCCAGATGCGAATGGAGGCGTCCACTGAGCAGGACGCGAAAACCTGGGCGAGGCGGAGTCTCAGTGACCCAGATGTCCCCCCTCCTTGAAGACCAGGAGTGAGTGAGGGGCTGGCCTCTCTCTGTGACCTCACACCAGGCCAGGCCTGCACCCGCTCCTGCCTCAGCACCCAGGATTCCAGGCCCCCAGCCCTTCCTCACCGTGTCCTCGGTCGGTGACCACTGCAGGTCCTCCACAGAACGCGTGTGGCCCACGAATGGCCGCTGGTCCACGTGCCAGGAGCCACCGTCTGTGGGTGTCCAGAGGTGGATGTTCTTCTGACAGTCACCGGTCAGCAGGCGACCTGGGGAAGCAGTCAGGACGTGAGCCCGCCCACCTGGCCACAGCTCACTGCCCCTCCCCCACACCCGCCCGCGGGCACGACGCCAGGACTCACCAGGCACCCGGGGCGACCAGTCCAGGGCGAAGCCCTCACCCATGTGGCCAGAGAAGGTGAAGATGGGCTTCACTCGGGCCTGCTCGTCCCGGAGGAAGACCGCCAGGGCCTGGGGGTCGTCCACCACCTGCAGAAGCCGCCGCAGCGCAAACACCTCCACCTGGCCCTTCTCTGACCACACCCCGGCCACAGGCTCCTCGCCCAGCCATGACACCTACAGGGGAGCGGAGGTCTGGGTCACCACGAGGCCCCAGCATCCCTGTGAGCCAACCCACAGGCTTCCCCGGGGCAGCTCGGGGAGTGGTCAGCTCCCCACCCTGGAGTGGCGGCGTGGGCTGAGGGTGGGAACCGGGGCCGTCAGCCCCGTCACCCCAGGAGCGTGCTGGGAGGACTCCCAGTGCCGGCAGCCTCAGGGCTCAGCCCTCACCCCCCCCCCCCCCCAGCTCGGGCCTCTCTCCTCGTCACGGAGTGGAACGACTCCGCCCAGGCTCCCACCCGAAGCTCACAGCCTCAAGACTCTCGCCCTTGCCCTCACAGAAGCTCACTCGGCCAGGGCTCCCCGCTCTTCCCCGCTGCCCGCGGCCCCCGCACCGATTCACGTGGCAGCCACCACAGTCCCTTTGCAACAGAAGGCAGGCTCCACACCCACCAGTGCCCGCTGCCCCGTCTCTCCCCAAAACCCGCACGCTAACCACGGTGCCTGGGGGCCCACCCCACAGCTTGTCACCCCTTCATCCAGTCTCCGCAGCTCCCCGGGACGCCGCACACACACCACGGTCACCCCAGCACCTCCGCACGCGTGTCTCCCTCCCTCACTTCCTGCGCGTGAACCCCCTAACCCCACTGCCTGCCACGGCAACTGCACCCCAGAACACCCCGGGCCCCGCAGCCGCTTCACGTGGTCTCCACGCCCCTGACAGCTTTTGGCCGCTTCCTACACTCTCCCGTGCCTGCTTGCTCCCCAGCCGTTTAAGTCGCCCCCTGCAGAAGGGGCGGGGCTGGGACAGGATGACGGAGACACAGCACCGCCCTCCACACGCCAGCGACAGGTCAGGAGGTGCTCCAGCTCCCAAGCAAACAAAAACCCACAACCCACAGCCCCAGCAGCTCCTGGATCCTGGCCAATCACACACACACACACACACACACACACACGTCACCAACACCCAGGTGCTGTGCACGCCCACCCCATCAGACAAGCAGCGTGACAGGAAAGTAAGAGACAGGCCCGGCTCGGAAGGCCGACGGGAGCGCAAGGTGTCGTGAGCGGGGCTGGCGCAGCGGGCAGCTGGTGAGTGTTCCCGGGACTCTACCCGAACTCGGTTGATGCCGCCATAGTGGGGAACCATGGCCAGCTCCAGCTGAGGCTTGCGCTCCTCTTCATCCTCCTCGTCGTCCTCCTCCTCCTCCTCGTCGTCACTGCCCTCTGAGGGCGGGGCCTTGGTCCCGTGCAGATTGTGCATCCGGAGCATCATCAGTCTGGGGACAGTGCGGGGAGTCAGGCACCGGGCGGCGGAATCCTTAGGGGGCAGGGACGGCGGAAACCCGGGCTCCTGGGTCTTGGGGGCGGGGGGTGCGGCCTGGGACAGAAGCTGGAAGCCCTAACTCCTGGCTGCGAACGAGAACCTGCCTCACGCACCTGTTGCTCTGGGCACTCTCTGCCTGGGTCCCAGCACACAGGTACAGCGTAAGAGGAAGCTCGGTGCGGTTGTCTCCCAGGTGGTCTCGGACTATGTCGAAGCTGAGACACGGGGCGCCTGGGGACGGACGGAAGAGTTAGGCCGCCCCGACGGAAGGGTCTCAGCCGCCAGCTCCCTCTGGGGCCGGCCATCTCCTCCTGGACTGCAGCTCTCGGGATGTCTCTTAAGTTAACTTCCCTGGACCCCAAAAGCCCCGGCCTTCGGCCCTACCTGTCTGAGCCCGGTGGTACAGCACATAGGCCTCCTCGTCCATGACCAGCTCCTCCCCTTCGCGCAGCGGCGGCCCCCGCCCAGGCAGGTACACCTGGGTCCGGCCCTCGGAACCTGTGTCACCCGACTCGGTCTCCATGGGTGCCTCGTTATCACACGTGCGTCGCCGACCCTTGCGCGCCGCCATCTTCGAACCCTCTCGCGGCCGGCGCGAGGTGAGAGCGTCACTTCCGGGTTACGCCCGTCGCCTTCTAAGATCCGCACCCACAGCGCGGTTGCCTTGGAAACCTGCCGCTCCAGCGATCGAAAGCGGGGCCGCGGGTCGGGGGACGGAGAAGGAGAACTCAAGTAACGGCGTCCTGGTCCAGCGAGAGCGACCCGCAGATACGGAGAGGCCGTTCGTTCCCCGTGACCTCAGGGAGCTCTTCCGCCTGGTAGTGGCAAAGGATTCTGGGAGTTGTAGTCCTGTAGGAGGAGCCCGAGCGCCTTTGATTCGCAGTGCTTGCCACTAAATTAATTATTCATATATGCAAACTTGAGCACTTAGTGCGAGGAGACCCGGGTTTCGGCTCCCTGAGGACCCCGTATAAAGCGAGTTTCTTCTGCCCTCCCTGTTCGGATGGTGTTGGTTTATTTCAAAATGCTTTGGTGAAGACAGGCTGCCTATTTCGAGTTAGCTAGAGGGGCGGTCAGTGGCCCGGTCAGCTCGGTGAGGGGCCGGGCCGTCGCTCGCGGGAGGGGATACTGAGAACCTCGGAAGGCTTGCAGGCAGTGGACGCTGAGGTGTCGCCTCAGCCCGGATCGCTCCCATCACTCTCTCGGGGTCTCCGTCTGCGCCCCCTCCCCACCCCGGTTCTCTCTCGTCCTCCCCTATGAGGCTTCCCTCACTTTATTCCCGGCAGAGAAGCTGGGGGCGGGGGAGGGGCCGGGAGACAGACACGGAGCTCAGGCCCGGACTGAGGAGCCATAAAAACATGGTTTATTCCAAACACTGCAATGTGGACGAGGAGAGTGGGGGGAGGTGTGCAGCCCCAGACCCCTCCCTCTGCAACCCAGCCCCAGACCCGGCTGGCGCTCTGGGGAGGGGAGGCTCTTGGGGGTCCGCTGGGGGCATCTTTGAGGAGCCACTAGGAAGGGCCGGACTTGGAGGGGACGCGGTCGGCGGCACCTGGGCTGGACGGGAGGTGCGGCAGGGCGGGGGTTCCCGGCTAGGGGCGGGGGGTGGTGGGGGGCGGGAGGCTGGGGTCCCGGCGGGGCTTCTGCTGGGGACGCGTCCTGGGTCCGAGTAGGAAAAAAGCCACCGAGGGTGGGCGAGGAGGAGGAGGGGGCGTCGCGGTTTGACACCCAGGGTCACAGTCTGGGTCGGATGACGTCACAGTCTGGGGTCAGGGGTTCCTGTGTGGCGGGGCCGAGGTCTGGGGTCACAGTTTGGCGAACGCCGTCTCACAGTTTTGAGTCCCGACGGATGAAAGGTTAAAAACGGCCTCCCCGGAGGCGTGGCTGGGGCCGGGGAGCTGCACAGTGATGCGGGGGCCACGGCCCCGGGCGTGGGGGTGGGGCGCGGGCAGGGCGAGACCCCCACCACCACCTCCCGCCCCTTCTGGTGACGTTAAAAAGCCCTTGTCGGGTTAAAAAAAAAAAAAAGTCCGGTGGGCTCCGAGACCCCCGCCCCCCTCGCTCAGAGGCTGGGTGACACTGGGCGACCCATCCCCTCTGGCTCGCGGTTCCCGGGATGCGAGGGGGCGCAGGGCGCGGAGCCAGCCAATATTTTCCTTCCCAGCCCACGCGGGTCCTGCCACTGCGCGCGCCCCCTCGGGCCGTGGCCTGCGCTGACCGAGGGGGCGGGCGGTGCGGCCACCCCTGGGCCGCGTCATACCTCGGACTCGAGGCTGGAGAAGTGCGCCGAGCCCCTGCGGGTGCCCAGGTCCCCGCCCCGGTGTCTCCGGTGCGGCGCGGCGGGCAGCGGCGGCCCCCAGTGCGCGGCGTGCGGGCACCTGCGCGCGTGGCGCGAGGGCCCGGTGAGCCTGCGGGCGGGGGCGGCGCGGGGGCACGAGCTGAGGTCCTCGAGCGAGCGCGAGGTGGGCGCGGGCGGCGGGAGGTCCCAGCCCCCCGCGGCGCGCCGGTGCCGGTGGTGGTGCGGCGCGGCGGGCGCGCGGTGCGAGGCGCGCGGGCGGTGAGGGTGCGGCCGCGGGCAGCCGCAGCGGGCCCGGCGCCGGGGCGGGGGCCCGGCGGCCCAGGGCGGGGGCGGCGGCGCCCACCAGCCGCCGTCCAGGCCGTCGTGCGAGCAGCTGAGATGGCGCGGCGGCGGCAGCAGCTCCAGGCTGGCGCAGTGGCGGCAGTGCCAGGCGGCCGGGCCGCTGCGCGGGGGCAGGTAGTCCCAGCTGCCGGCGCGCCAGCCCCCGAGCTTGTCGACCGACCAGTAGCGGCCGGGCGGCGGCCCGAGGCGCTCGGCGTACGGGTACGGGAAGTCGGCGAACCACCAGGGCTCCAGGCCGCCCAGGGAAGCGCCGCCCAGGCTCTCCGAGTCCTCCGACTCCGACGGCGACGGCTCGAGGTCCAGGTAAGGGCAGGGGGGCGGCGCGGCGCGGCACGGGGGCGGCGCGGCCGGGGCTCCGCCGCCCGCGCCCCCCGCGCCGCCCGCGCCCCCGGCGCCGGGCCCCAGCAGCGGCTGGCTCTCCGGGTCGGAGCGCGGCCAGCGCGCGGGCGCCGGCGGACTCTCGTCCTCGAAGGCCAGGCGGCAGAGCGGCGGCCCGACGGCCGAGGCCGCGGCGGCAGGGGGCGCGGGCGGCGACGGGAAGCCGGGGAAGGCGCCGGCGGGGGGCTCGGCCGGCTCCTTGTCGCGCACGATGGCGAAGTAGGAGGGCGGCGGCTTCTGCGGGGGCTGCGTGGCCGGCGGGGACAGTGGGCGCGCCGCCGCGCCCCGGGGTGCCGCGCGCGCCTCGCCCAGGCCCAGCCCCTGCGGCTCGATGGGGCCGTAGTAGCGGTGGAAGCCGTCGGCCAGGCCCGCGGCCCCCGGCGGCCCCGCGCCCTTGGCCCGGCGCCAGCGGTCCACTGCGGCGCGCTCGCGGGGCACGAAGGGTGCGGGGCCCGGCGCCGGGCGCGCCGTGGGGTACGCGGGGCTGGGCAGGGGCTGCGGCGGCGGCGGGGGCTTGGCGGGCGGCGGGGCGGCCTCGGCGCTGCAGCAGCTGTACATGCCCTGCGGGAGAGCGCGGGTCAGCGCGGGGGGGGGGGTCCCGGGACACGTGCCTCCCCCTCCCCTCCAAGGTCTGCGTCCTCCCCCGGAACCCTGTCCGCGGCGCCCTCCGCACCCCCGTCTCCCGCTCCCGTCCCGCGTACCCTGGAGAAGGCCAGCAGGAAGTCCATGCGGTGGGTGGGCCCCAGGCAGTGGCGCAGGCGCCAGTACACCAGGTGCTCCCAGGCGAAGACCAGCAGGGACAGGCCCATGGCCACCAGGAGCATGTAGAAGACCCCCGCCATGTTGTCGATGTCCAGCTTGCTGCTCATCACCTCGATCTTGTCGTTGTGGCAGATCCCGGACAGCCACAGCCGCTCCAGCATCTCGATCTCATCTGGGGTGGGGTGGGGTGGGATGAGAATTCACCTGTCCTGAGTGCCCAGCCCAGCAACGCGGGAGTCCAGCCCCTGCCCCCACACCCTGCTGTCCAGGCCCTTATCCCCTCCTCCCCCCACCCGGGACCCCAGGCCGCACCGTCGCCCAGGAACTGCAGCAGGGCCAGGTCGATGGGCCGTTTCCAGCGGGAGCCCTTGTGCAGGGCGATGCCGTAGCCCGTGGTGGCAAAGACCTTGCCGGAGCCGATGGTGACCAGCTTGCAGCCCTCGTCCTTGCGGGCCATGTAGTTGAGCACGGCCGCGTCGTAGATGAACGCGTCCAGCTTCCTGCGGGCCATGGGGGTGGCGGGGGGGGGGGCACGGAGGGCAGGGTCAGTGCCACACGTAGCCCCTTCCTCCCGCAGGATCCCGACCCTCACCTGCCGCGCAGGCCGCAGCCTAAGGGGTTCTAAGGGCTCTCTGTGCCTCGGCTGCAGCATCTGTGAAATGGGCCCAGGGTTGGCACTGCGGCTCACTAGGCTAATCCTCCACCTTGCTGCGCCGGCACACCGGGTTCTAGTCCCGGTCGGGGTGCCGGATTCTGTCCCGGTTGCCCCTCTTCCAGGCCAGCTCTCTGCTGTGGCCTGGGAGTGCAGTGGAGGATGGCCCAAGTGCTTGGCCCTGCACCCCATGGGAGACCAGGAGAAGCTCCTGGCTCCTGGCTTCGGATCAGTGCAGCTCTGGCTGTTGTGGCTAATTGGAGAGTGAACCAGTGAATGGAAGACCTCTTCCTCCTTCCCTCCCTCCTTCCCTCCCTCTCTCTTTCAAAGTAAATAAATAAATTTTTTCTTTTTACTGACAGGCAGAGTGGACAGTGAGAGAGAGAGACAGAGAGAAAGGTCTTCCTTTGCCGTTGGTTCACCCTCCAATGGCTGCCGATCCGAAGACAGGAGCCAGGTGCTTCTCCTGGTCTCCCATGGGGTGCAGGGCCCAAGCACTTGGGCCATCCTCCAATGCCTTCCTGGGCCACAGCAGAGAGCTGGCCTGGAAGAGGGGCAACCGGGACAATCTGGCACCCTAACCGGAACTAGAACCTGGTGTTCTGGCGCCGCAAGGTGGAGGATTAGCCGATTGAGCCATGGTGCTCGCAAATAAATCAAGGAAGGAAGGGAGGAAGGGAGGAAGGAAGGAAGGAAGGAAGGAAGGAAGGAAGGAAGGAAGGAAGGAAGGAAGGAAGGAGAAAGAAAGAAGAAAGAAGAAAGAAAGAAAGAAAGCGAGCATTACAGAGAGAGAGGGAGGGACAGATCAATCTTCTATCTGCTGGTTCACTCCCCAAATGGCCACAATGGCTAGGCTGGGCCAGGCTGAAGCCAGGAGCCAGGAACTCCTTCTGGGTCTCCCACGCGGGTGCAGGGGCCCAAACACTTGGGCCATCTTCAGCTGCTTTCCCAGGCCACAGTAGGGAGCTGGGTCAGCAGGAGGCAGGTGGGAGACCCGGAAGAAGCTCCTGGCTCATGTGGCTTCTTGGGGAGTGAGCAGGTGGATGGAAGACTGATCTCTTTCTGTAACTCCGCCTTTCAAATAAATTAATAAAAATAAAATGGTATTTGAGTGGGGAAATTTTTGCCCACCGTCTAGTTCTAGGAGGGAGGCACCTGCTACAGTCTAGCCCAGGAGAACATTCTCTGACAGCGAAATCCGTGGTCCATCCTGGCAGTCCCCGCACCAGCCACACTTGGCCCCTGAGCACTTGAATCCTGACCGGTGCCACCGTAGGGGTGTTACTTAACATTGCACTGCATTTTAATTAGTTTAAATGGAAGTAGTATGACAGACAGATAACGATGCGGCTGGGCGCACAGCTGCAGGGAGGGTGGGGGTGCC